TCAGGTAATTTTCCCGCTCCATTGACCCGAATAGTCTGCTCGTAACCTAGTACGGGACCCACTGTGAAAGAACGCTACTCTAGTGAACCCTTTTGTTCGAGCGGGGCTGGCCTAGATCGCAGGGAATGTGAACGCAATTTAGACCAGCATTGTTGGGATGTGCAGTACGGCTCATACCACAGCTATGTAATATTGTTCGCTATAGATTCCGTGGTTTATTCCATTTGCGGTTCCCTTGAATTGCGGCGGGTTCGCTTTGCTTTGTGCAATACAATACTATTGTCGTAAGGTGTCAGATTGGTTTCGAATTGAAAACGAGTTTATCTGTTGCCAGATTTTCAATGAAACCTATTGAGAATGTTGTGCTTAATTTTTTTCTTCTTAATACATGAACCTCTTAGCTATGAACCATGAATTGAATTAATTATAAACATTCTTATTTGTTTGCAGGACTCTCGACACATAGTCCAATTAGTTGAAATTGTAAAGCGTCCTGGTCAAACCCTGGGACTGTACATCCGAGAAGGAGATGGGGGAGCAAGGACAGACGGAGTGTTCATATCTCGGATAGCTTTGGAATCTGCCGTCTATAACAGTGGCTGCCTCAAAGTTGGTGATGAGATCCTTGCAGTGAATCTAGTTGATGTGCGGAGAATGTCACTAGATGATGTCGTTATTATCATGTCAATACCAAGGAGGCTACTGTTATGTACGAGGCAGAGGAAAGGTTGGTTTAAAAGATATTAGTTAATAAAAAAACTCGATAATTTATCTAGTTTCCTTTCTTCAATTTTTCTTGTATAATATTTATTATTAGAAACCAGGTACATATGATTAAAGGAGAAAAATACACCAAAATTTAAGAAAAATGTAATAAGAATGACTACATAATTGAGACAATATTATTGAATCCTCAAATTAACAAAGTAACAAAGAAATATTTGTTGTCAGGACAAACGTATTGACGGTCTGACGAATCTCAAACAAAAAGGTTATGCACTCGACATACCTTATTTATAACGATGAATTTTCTTCTACCTCCAAAGATTACCAACAGTATCAATTTTTATATTGGTTTATTTTCATTATCAGGTAAATCAGGACCAGGCTCTCCATCGATGCCGCGGTCGGAGCACAAACCACCGCCAGTTGTTGTGCTCAAGAGGGACTGTCGAGATGACGACGAGAGAGACCGGGACAGGGTTGATGGCCTTTATTCACAGTGAGTATCCAAATTACATAGTACTAAAAAAAGAGAATTTACTGACCATTGTTTAACTTCTAGTTATAGTTTCTTAAAGAAATTCATACAATAAGGCAATTTAGGAGAAAAAACTTTGAACATATACATGAAGCAAAATTGGGTTTGATTCGTTAAAATAATAAAATTGGTGTTCACTTTACCAGACATGGGACACTTCGATCTACTGGTCCCAGTGGAGGAGTTCGTCCAGTTGGCGATGGAAGGGAAGAAAGAAGTCGGATACAGCTCGGTGCTCTGTCACCAGATTCTACGGCTTTGGATTTATATTATAATCCACGGCCGTCGTCTGATCATTCCACCTGGAGGTAAGGTCAAGGCTGACTTTTGACTGACTTTTACATCGTTTACATTTTTTACAAATCATTCTTATTGGTAAAAACATAGTATTTATATTCTTGTTTTGTCCTCAGCTACCGTCCACCACCACCGGTAATTACAGAGCAGCCAAAGTCCCAAGCGACACATTTCGTACCGTACGAAAGGTCTTATCCGAATACTTTGGATAGCTTGGCAGAGAAGGTTCATTCTTTCTATCCTGCTGACAGCGGAAGGTATGATAGGTACTAAAAGTTTTTTTTATTAGTGTCTTGAAGTTACATGTTTTAAGGGTAACTTTTGATTTGTATTGTTATATTTCAGTACGCGGTTTGGTGGTCGAGTTCCAAGATCAGGATCGGAACAGCAGTTGCCTAGAGCAGAAACTCATTCCGATTTCGGTAGACACTCTTTGCTCAGATCTAGCTTAAAGGCCTCTGCTGCGACTGGAGGTAAGAAAATTAATGTTTATATTTGGTACAATCTCGTGTGTCTAGTACAAAATAAAATTTTCTAATTAAAACTTTTCTTTTCAGCGTCAAGCTTAAGGTACAATCAACGATACGGCGGTGTAGGGATGACAGGATCTGGCCTAACAGGCACTGGATTAACAGATTCAGCATTAACTGGAACAAGTTTGGGTCCCGGGCTTCCTTCTGGCCTCTCCACCACTGGACTCAGCGGCCTCACAGGTTCAAGCCTCGTCGGTTCAGGCTTAACAAGCTCTGGCCTAGGTTCTGGATTAGGAGGAACGGGACTCGGTTCCACTTTGAGTGGAGCATATGGTACCACTGGACTTGGTTTACCGTCGTATAGTAGTAAATTTGGAACAGCTAGGAGAAACCGAAGCCTTGACTACTCTTCAGACACTGAGGCTACGGCTCCCACTAGAACTCCTTATTACTCAGGACTCAGTGGTTATAGGAGTAGCACTTTGGGAAGAGATATTGGATCGAAGTTTAATTCATTACCAAGGGATGTGCGAGGAACTGGTCAAAGGTAAGCATTGTTTCCATTGACACTATTTTGTGTGTAAAATAAATTAAGTTGTAATTTATTGTTCTTTCATAAAGGTTGGGATTAAGTAGACGTGCAGGAAGTGTTCTCCAAGATGAACCGGAGCCCTTATCTTCTCGTTTAGATCTTCGTTCTTCCAGAGGTGAGTAAATCTAAAAACTAAAAAATAAATAAATTAAAAGACCTTATTTATAAGGCACCATTTCATGTACAGGTCGTTTACCGTCCTCTCCTTCAGTATTTACTTCAGACGAGTACAGAGCGTGGCTGTCCCGAGCGCCCTCCACAAGCGCACTCTACGAGACACTGCGCCCAAGGCTTCCTACGCACTACTCAGCTGAAAATATACACGATGCCCTTAAAAACGTAAGAATTTTCTCAGTATTCAGTCAGATTAGTCAAATAGGTTTGATATTTTTTTTTTGCGATTAATACTTTTTCTTTTCAGATGGAAAGTGGCAGTAGGTTTGGATCATCATTAGGTCTTGCGGGTCGTAGAGTGGAGAGACCGCGACACTTACCAGCTCGTTCAGTGTCATCACAGCAGTTGGGTGCAACGCAACAACTTGGAGGAGGAGCTGGAGGTTCTCCTTCAGCTCGTCGGGTCCGACAGTTGCTTGAGCTAGGATCTCGGTTCAACTGCCCCAACCCGAGCCCAGTACCAACTCCTGGCTCTCGACATCAGAGGCATCTTGATATTAATCCTAGCGGTAAATATGAAAATATGAGTTTCTTTTTATTAATACAATGATGTACCTAATATTTCTCATTTACTTAATTAATCATCATTTTTTCAGAGTTCCTAAAGTATAAAGTGGAGAAACCAGCGACTGGCGGTCTTTCTGCTTCAATGACGGGTCTATCTCGGTTGTCTGGTGGAATCTCGGGCATGCTATGGGTACATCTCTTGGCTGGACGCGGTCTACGGCCATCACCGTCAGGAGCTTCACCAGGATCTCCACCATCAGGTCCACTTGCGCCCGCACAACCTCCAGTTGCACCTAGAGATTTGTATTGCGTACTGGAATGTGATCGTGTACACAAAGCTCGTACTGTGGTAAGTATTTAGAATGTAATAAATTTTTCAACACAGGCAATTTGTGATGATGTAATAAAACTTGGAACAATTTTTGTGACAGGTTCGTACCGGGGAATTGCAATTCGATTGGGATGAGTCTTTCGAGCTGGATCTAGTTGACAACAGACAATTGGATGTCCTGGTCTACTCGTGGGACCCCCAACACCGGCACAAGCTCTGCTACCGAGGCGCTGTCACTTTGCCTGACTTGTTGTCGCGCGCACCTGCTCATCAGTTGGCAATTAAGGTAACCATAGCATCAGATCTTTACTTACCGTAGGTTAAGTAAAGGGTGCTTCATACCTACAGTTCTTTAGACATGGCAGTATAGGCAATTTTGTTAATATTAAATTACCGTATTTCCAGATGGAACCTCGAGGCACTCTATACGTGCGTGTAAGACACACGGAACCACACGATCTCTTCCGAAGGAGGCCAGCGCCTCCTCGAAGCTCTGCATTGTTCGGTGCTGAACTGGACACAGTCGTAGCTCGAGAACCTCGCCCACCACACGCACCACCCGTGCCACTGATAGTCAGGCGATGTGTTGAAGAAATTGAGAGACGTGGCTTGGACATTATTGGTGAGTGGGAGATTACTGTAAAATATTTTTATCTTTTAGAGTGATGTGCCTCATAGAATTTTACATATAGTAAAACAATTCCACATAGTACAAAAGAATATGTGCTTATTTTATTTCATGGGAAACTCAGGTTTTGACAATTATAGCACAGTAATTAGACAAACTGAAAAAGTTCAATATGATTATTGTATGCACTGTATTATTCTTATAACAAAATGGTTCTACTTTTTTTACCCAGGACTTTACCGTTTATGCGGATCGGCGAGTAAAAAACGTATTCTACGGGAGGCTTTCGAACGAAATGCTCGAGGAGTGGAACTGGCGCCTGACTCAGTACCAGATATTAACGTCATCACTGGTCTGCTGAAGGACTACCTTCGGGAGCTGCCACAGCCGCTGTTCAGTCGATGCATGTATCAGATGACCCTTGATGCGCTAGGTTAGTATCCAAAAGCCAAGCAATCCGCATATATTATCGATATTATTATTCATAGTTTTGGCACTATTTTTGTCACCAATTGGTATAACAGAAATGTTGAGTGGTCGCTAATGAAATTTAAGCGAATTATTACCCAATGAAAGAGTTTTAATCATCTCAATTTCTTTTAGGCATATGCCTCCCAGATGACAGGGAAGGCAACGCTCGACTGATGGCTTCAGTAGTTGAGTTACTACCACGGGCATCAAGAGCGACCTTGGTCTTCTTATTGGACCACTTGGCTCTGGTGGTAGCTGCTCAGGATCGTAATAAGATGTCTCCACAGCATCTTGCAGTGGCTCTAGCACCGCCTCTGATGCTGCATTCTCAGCCACCAACAGAGCTAGACTATCAAAGGTCCATCAATGTTCTTCAGTGTCTGCTACAAATATGGCCGGCTCCTAAACGTTCAGGTAATGTCATCTCCCGTGTTAATTCTTACACTACATTGAAGTATAAAAACAACATTTTGGTTTCTTTGAGATTTTTAGAATATTAAACAATGTCGGTTGTGCTCAATATTAACGTTCATAATGTTGTTTTTCTACATTATTACCTATGCTGACTGTCAGCATAATCGCACGCACCCACTAGTTTACTCCGAACCAACCTCCATGACACAACTAGACAACATTCCACTCCGCACGTTGCTATCTTCATCTATTGCTCAACTCATTCCATCTATAAGACCGTTTAGGACCAAATAATTAAAAGAATGATTAAATAAATGCTCTCGTTTTATCAACACCATGTTGGTATTTTCTTATGACACAAAAAGTATGTGAAATTATTATTCGCAAACTTTTAACCCAATAAATATCCGTGTATAAAGAAAAAGTTCTACTGAAATAAAATATATAAACAGTGGTATAATAAAAAAAATTAAAAAAATAAAAAATTAAATTTCTCTTTATATTCTGGACATACTATTTGTATACAGATACCAGTATCTGTGTATCATTTTTGAGGGATTCTGTTAGTCTGTGCCTGAATAAAACTACATTTTGAATTCTATCGCAACCATTAATTAGCACCCTTTAGTTCTCCAATTCCTTCTTCTGCATGCTCTAGCTATTCTATTACTATACCTATACACTAGACAAGAACACTGAATGTCTAAAGGCTAAGCGGTACCTTAACGCATGTATGTTTGTAGACAGTTCGGCGCGGCGAGTCAGTAACCGGGCCGCGTGGAAACAGAGTCAGTGCGTCGCCAGCGGCCTCACTCACGCTCCCCCAAGGTATAATATACCTTAACACGAGTATAATAAGCAATATTATACCTTATAACATGAGGAGAACACTTGACCAAAAACAAAACAAGTTTACTCAATTTAAATCAATACTTCAATAGTCCTAGAACCTACCCAGTTTTGTCAATTTCAATAAACTTCTCATTTCACTTTTTCAATCATTTTCCTGTTGAGTATCTTATCATCTCCTCCTTTATACGAAATTGAAAGTGATTGGTTATTTGTATGCCGCGTGGTAGGATGTTAAAGTAAGTATTGTTTGTCGCCAGGCCGAGCTCCGCCCTCAGTCAGTCCATATCGGCCTCAAGTGGCAGCATCAGCAGCATCTCCGCCGCCAGCTCTCTCGGGTCGGCCCGCGCCAGACCGCTCGCCGCCCGCACATGTAAGTCATGTTCACTATATGATTTAGAGGTATAATATTGTTCTTCGTGAAAACCAGGCATTGGCTTTCTGTTGTTAATTTTAACCATAAAATTTCAATAAATGTGAGGAAATTGATGTGTTTCTCATATTTGCAGGTTCTCTCATCAGTCAGGGCAGGCCAATATCGTCCGCAGTCGCCGCTCAGAGGCCCTCTGCCCGCTCCACCTCGGTCCCGTCAGGTGACAGTATCCTCTCCAGGTTCACCCAGTAGCAGCTCAGGCAGTCACAGCCCTGCGGATACTATTAAACATGGAGGATCTGTCTCCTCCATATTGAGGCAACCGGAGCGCGCTGCATCACCACGGTCATCACCGCGGTCTTCTCCGCGCGCGTCTCCCAGAGCCTCGCCGCGCGACTCCCCGCGGACTAGCACACCGCGGGACGCCAGGGAGCATGCCTCGCGGGACTCGTCGCGGGAGCACACTCCGCGCGAGAACTCTCGAGAGCACACACCCCGCGATACGTCGCGCGAGCACACCCCGCGGGACGGGCCACGCGAGCCAGGCTCCCGCGAGTCCCCGCGGTCAGTGATCCCGGGCACCTCGGCGGGCCTGGCCGTGACGCTGAACTCTCCGGGGCGCGTGGCGGGCGGCGGCCTGAGCCCGCGCTACAGCTCCACCAACCCGTTCCTGCAGCAGTACGACGCGGAGGAGGAGGCCGAGGCGTGGCGCGCCGCCGACATATTCTCCTCGTCCTCCACGCACGCATAGTGCTCGTAGCGAATTGAGATTTTCTAGTCAATTTTTTTAATCGAATCGAAAGAGTGCTACGATTCCGCTGTATATTATGTTGTTTATTCGACGAGCGTGGTGCGCGTTCGTGTAATGTTTGTTATATATAGAGCGAGTTACGATGTATATTACTGTGAGAATGTATACATGCTGAGGCGCGAGGTGACACGCCTCGCCGGCCGCCGGCGTCCCGCCCCGTAGCCACTATAGTGTTTATCGTATTGTATTGTACATTGTATATAATAAACGTATATGTAGGTACGCTCCAATTTTGTACCATTCGGGTGGGACCGCGGCGGGCGGCCCGCGGCGCTACACACATCATCCCACATATCAGAGACTTGTGTACGGAATCGAAACAATCAAGTGAATGTCCAAACTAGAATCATCAAACAAATCAGCTTCCAATATAAGACTTACGAGAACCAAACATATACCTATAAATAATATTACACTATAATGTTAGTATCGACGACGGACACAAGTCAGTAGCTCGAGTAGGGAGAGTGTATCATAGATCAGACGTACGGACTGTCTTGAGACTGAGACCATATCAGAGTAGCTCGTAGACTCGAAGGCTATCCGTCGTAGAACGAGCGATTACGTGGCATATTGGAAAACGTCTAGAAAACGCAAAGCTGTTATGAATGTTAAAGTAATATTCAAATAATCCCTGTTCTTTAATAAAGTAATAAATATATAACATATTATTATATTAATTAAATATAGTATTAGAACGCATTTTTACGAGTCGCTAATTCTATGAAGGAGAGGAATTTAATCCGTTTGGATCGGTCGCATTCTCAAGATCAGGGGCGATGTGTTTGAAATTCGGATAATCTGAACGGTTAAATGGATTCACAATAGACTATACTGTATTCAAAATTGTACTTTAGCATTCGAAATTCGAAAACATAACCTCAGTTCTTATCTAGCGTCTGCTAGACATATAAGAGTGGGAGAAATCGACCAATGACAGCACTGATCCTACTTTCACTGCCATGATTGGTCCATTTATACTAGAAAGCATATTAATTATACACTTGTTTATATGTCTGTCGGAGGCTACACGGTTACTTATTACTTTTGAGCGACACTTCAAGACGAAATTTTGTTATTAAATATTAACTGTTTATAAAAATAGCATTGCACAAATAACACGACTGATATGGGACACAAAATGTTTTTGATACTTTTTACTTTTTGTACCTGTTCCTCGTTTGTAATAATGACTAGGGCTTCGTTGGAGAACCTCGCCTTGCTGTACCTCTATAAATTTATATAATATCAATATTGGTGCACGAGTTCCCTTTATTCTCATTCATTCAGTTCAATCTTCGCAGGGGCCTCTGACGTCAGTGTCAGTCATAAATATTTACTATAAAGGAATTCGTGTACGAATACATAGTTACATTATCTTGTATGAAGGCTGAAAATCGATGACAATATGTAGCGATAATTTTAACCGATCGTACGGATTGTATTAATCGAACGGTCGCCTTCATGAAGATTTTGACAGTCGGTTCGTATTGCCGGACACTCAATGTTTTAGATGTTATTTATATACGTGTGGAAAAATGATTTCTATTGCAAAATATTAATATTAAATATTAGAGAATAGAGGGGTTTTAAACACTCAACTTAGATAAATGAGGATGATCGCAGTGGATCATATTGATCAGAATCGTGTTTAGTGTAGTACAATCATAAGTTCTTTGTTCGATGGGAGATCTTATATAAATATTTTGAGTCTTTTCTGATGTCCTTTTGGTCTGAAGGACGAAAATCTAGTTGTGACTGTTATCACGATAGTTGTCCGGTAATGAGGACCGACGGCTTCCACTCGCTGCGCCTTACTCGTCTAGTAAAATTATGAGCTTAACGAAATTCGTTTAAAATATACACGTGTAATCTAAGACATTGTAATCGACAGTAGGTCTATCGCCTTTTATTATACTACTTTAGACTTTGATACGATTGATCATGACTTGTATTGTTCACATTTAATCATGACTAAGGCGTGGTGGTTGGATTCATAGCTGTACGGGTGTTCGCACGGTCGACGTTTTGGTATACTCAGTGTTCTCCATCACAGTCTGGGTACTGCGTTGAGTAATTTACAAAAAAGATAAGGAACGTCTTTGTTGAAAGATTTAACAAGTAAAGTTTAGTATGGCATGTAGATTGGTTTCAGTTTGTTGCGATGAGTGATGGTTGAATCAGTATAACAGAAGGTTAGCAATGCGAGCAAGCTCTAAATGTTGTGAGTGGCTTGAAGTGTCGCTCGACAGTCCTGTAGCCAGCCGCGATACGGCGGTAGTGTGTAGTGACTACGGCGCACAGCTTAAGTTGGCTTCAATGGGGCAATAATTCTGAGAGACTACACTTAGGTTCTGAAACGTTACACCTAGGTACCAATGAATTGTAATACAGTTATTACGTCTTTGTAATTTTAGCACTTGTTAGAATCCATCTATAAGTATATAAAATTAATTTATTGAAAATAAAAACTTATTATACACGATTAGAGTTACATATTCATTGACTTGATATCTGCCCGCCCATATATCTTGTATATTATAACAATTAAAAGTTTAACTATATATATATTCCAAATTAAATGAATATAACGATTTAATTGATAGATGCTATATATTTTAATGTAGATAAACAATTTCATTGATTTTTATATTTGTTTGTTTGTTGATGTACACACTGATAGAGTTTTATATGCAAACTGATGGTTATATAGCGTCATTTATAGAGCAAAGTAACGATACTCGGATATAAGAAAGTACCTATATAATTTGGCCTACGTACAAACTCGATACGAATACCTATATCTTTAAAGTTTAGAATATCGTGTTTTTCTATATCTATTTATAAAGAATCTTCTCTATTGTTAGATTTTATGATGTTACAGTTGATGCAAGAGATGGCCAAGTGTTACTCTCTCAAAGTTGATGCCGCTGTACGTTTGTGTTGCGGGACGATGGTCCCTCGGATAATATCAGTATTTCGACAATTTGGTAAAGAGTAGCGTTACATACGTGAATTTAACGTAAAGAGTACACGCCGCCCGTATATGTACCGGGCGGCTGGAACACACACGAAAATAAATAATACGACGTTATAATAGTTTCATTTATTCATTTCCCTGTAGCATTACTATTGTAGTTTAGACGATATTACCTATATCTACTGGTTATCTGTGGAGAACATATGGTAGTTGCTCCTTATAAAATACTTACTTGTACATTCAGCCAAATGTAATTAGCGATCCTAAAACTAAATGGAAGAAGGCCAGAAGAAATGGAAAATGTTAAGAAGATATCGAGTAGAATGACACTCGAATGGAATACTTCCAGTAATCATTACATTATTATAATTATCTATTACTAATTCGGTGAGTAGAATTATGAATAGTGGCCAAGATTCCACATGGAATAGGTACTGAGAATTTCGAAATGGAAAACTAAAAAAATATTATGCTTCATCTGGAAATCATGATCAAAAACTGGCTGCAGCTAGTTTGAAGTAAGCTGTGACTACAACAGTCAGTACAGCGATAAATTAAAATAATCATATTTTGTCCACTGACTTAAGGATTTGACTGCCAATAAAAACAGTTGAAGGCAAATCCTCTGCTCACGTCGGACACCGGTGACGGTTAATGTGTTAATAGACGTTGTTCCTCTAATTCTCTAAAGGGTCTACCCATTGAATGGTATGTTGTTCCAATTTAGCCCTTCGCTATTGTTTCATTTCAAGTAAAATAGGAACAAGTTTATACCACATTTGTGAGTTCTAGAATGCCAGCCAGCAAGAAATAGAAAGGCGACCTCTACATTCTCCTAAACTCAACTACTTCGTCTAGAACCTATATGAAGCATCTAACAAACGAACATTATAAGTTTTTCATACTTTCGTTTCAAAATAACTATGCACCTTTAGAAGAAAACTTGAAATAGTTGGTCTACAACTACTTTGGTATGTCAGCGCTAGATGGCGTCACCATTCACAAATGCTGGAGATAGTTAAGCTTAATTTATTAGAGTACATATAGGACACAAAGCTTGGATTTTATGTACAATAGATATGAAACGTTAAAATTGACATAAATTATTAGATAAATAAATATGCTATTTTTGTAACTATTGCATTTTACTTAACCTGTGTCATAAGTGCGTTTACAAACAAGTTTCACCCAGAAATGGAACAAAAATTTGTACAACATACATAATTTTAATTTGAACCGTAGGTAAATACCCATTGAAAACATTATTGCATATATCTAAATCCATGAAAAAAAATATATAAACATACCATAACATCACGCCTTTTTATCCCCGAAGGGGTAGGCAGAGGTGCACATGTCGGCACTTAATGCCGCTGTACAATGTAACACCCTCTTTTCACTATTTATATTATGAGTCCCATGTAATAGGGGGTGAGCCTATTGCCATATACCGGGCACATTTCCAGACTCCGTGTTACTACTGAGATTTTTAAAAACCCAGTAATACTTTGTCCGACCCGGGAATCGAACCCAATATCCCTTGCCCGGAAGTCGCACTTGCGACCACTCGACCAACGAGGCAGTCATAAAAATATATAATAAGTCATGAAAAAATAAAAAAAAAACATGAATGGTTCAAGACTTTGTCATTGAAATAAATCTGTATACTATCTATATAAGATTGGTCTCAGGTGTTTGATTTTACATAGTTTGGTAAGTGCGTAATATTTTTTCTACTAAGTATAATATAGTGATGTTACATGCAAACCCTTTTAGCCTCGCCTGAACGACGCTTCAATTTACCTTATTTTTAGCGTGTAACTAAATTGCTTGCGACTGTAAGAAGTTCACATTTCAGAAGGATGAATAAGTGATTTCATTTCGAAAGTAATCTCTTTAATATTCTATTATGCAGTTATCTGTTTTAAAGAAATATTGAGCAATTGAAAGCGTTTAGGATTGGATTTGTGTATTATTATATAGCATGCTTGAGAAGACAGATGAGAGTTAAGGAAGCGAAAGTGGTACATGTTAAGTTCGACGGTTCATTAATCTACCGTCACCAGCCGACACTGGCAGTATAGTTGACAACATCGTATTGGAGTCTCTGTTGCCAAAGTAGAAAAAAAAAGAAAAAGAAAGTGGTATTTAAGAATCGCATAGCAATTGGCATTCCATAGTCTCTTCCCTCCATGGGAGACAGGTGTGACGTTATGTATGTCAATTTGTATAATTTTCTCACTTTTACTATAGTCAAATCGTAAGCAATTTGAACTATAAACACTACACACCTAAAAAAATTAAATCAGTTTTAGTAATCTATCAAGCTTTACAATATTAATTTTAATTAATGCAAATATGTATTTGTTATCGAAATACAGCATAGGCAAGTGGTCCTCGATATTGCCAAACAATTCGTATTGACTTATCTAGTCACTCCGAATTTTAAAACATTACTCA